GCTCCGCTCCCCGCCACCCGACTGGCAGTGCGCAGGCGCACGCCCCCCTCCCCACGTGACACCGTCCCCCTCCTCTTCAGTCCCAGACTCTTCCTCGCGCCGGCCCCTGCACGTGAGGCCTGTGCCATACTACGTCACACAGACCCTCCCCGGCACGTGACTGTCAGCCCCGCCCATTAGGCTCAGCACGTGACCGTGAGGCCCGGCCCCCGCTTGCGCGTGACGCGGCGGGGGCGGGGACAGGGCTTGGCAGGAAGGGCTCTGCGGCCGCCCGGTCTTCTGCTGCTGGGGGGCGGCGCGGTGCTTCTCGCCCGGGCGTCACGCTGGGCCTAGGACAGCCGAGGAGGAAGCTCCAGGGATGGGCCCAGGGCCAGACGGCCTCGCCCCTGCTGCAGGTCGGACTCCCGCACTGGGCTGGCGCAGGCCTGCACATGGCACTTCGTCTGGGCTGGCAGGAGGGACGCCCCAGTTGGCTGCCCTGAGACTCGCCCTCTGCTGCTGCCAGAGGCTTTGCTGTGGCTGCCCGCTCCAACACCAGCAGGCATCAGCGTGTGCGTTTAAAATAGGGGCGGGCAATTATTTTGTCTGGAGGCCGCTTAATGAGTTTTGGCGAGCTGTTCAGGCCGCAGCGGTAGCTCCGCCCCTTGGCTGGTGCCCGCCCCTTGGTTGCTGGGGTTGTGCAAAACAGCTGTTTTGATTCGGTTTCAGATTTGGCAGTTTCAGAGGGACAGGGATTGGATTCGGTGTTTCAGATCGCTGTTCTGTTTCAATTCGGCTAAACCCGTTTTGGAGTTTCAATGCTGTTTTGGTGATTTGGCCATAGGCTATAATGTGGAATTACTAAAATGCCTGTAGCTTTGTCATTTCTTGTCTGATTCAGATGAAAACAGCAGGGATGGTAGCCCCTTCTTGGGGCATGAAGCCTGCTGGGATTCAAGGAGATAAGTGCAGGGGTTTCTGTGAAACTGCACCTCAAACTGTTTAAAGCAAAACTCGTGACGTGTGACTTTGTGCGTGTTAAGGCGCAGCAGGATCAAACCAGCAGGGATGGTAGCCTGTAATAGGGGGCCTTCCCGGTGACGGTTAGATCTCTTCCCGCCCACCTGTTTCTGGGCCAACTGCCTACCCCTCTTTTTCCTGCCATGCCTTGATGGAAAACTGATTCAGATGTTTCCCAGGCAGGAGGCTGCTCCCAGGTGTCTTGGGGTGACATCCATCCCGCAGCTCCGTACCTCCCCTAACACTGTGGCCCATGCCGTGCAGATTGCATCCTTCACCCCCTCCAGCTGTGGTCCACTCTCTGGGACTTTTGACTCCCCCCTTAGGCCCTGGCCCCACCTTCAGGGCAGTTGGAATCCCAAGCCTCTTGCTTTGGGCATCCCCCGTGGTGGGCCCCTGGCCCTTTGACCCCCCTTTGGGTCCTGGCTCTGGCACGGGCCAGTTGAGGGTACCTCTGATATCTTTTATTAGACCAACTGAATAGTTGGAACAATAATTCTTAGCAAACTTGCAGGTTTAAAAACCCTTCATCAGGCAGAGGAAGCATCTGCAGTTGGTGTGTGTGTGCTCTTACTGGATGGAAGGAATAGTAAAAAAGCCGAGGCTGACATACAATGCAGGCAAGAAAGCCAGTTAGTGAAAATGTAAATTGAGGTGTCGGGGTGAGGGACAGACTGTGGGGAGAAGGGGGATGTAGCAGTAAAAGTGACGTGGTTTGTGCTGCGGGATGCTCAGCTCTGCCTGTTCGTCTTGCACCATCTTGCCCCCTTGATGCTGTGGTGGAAGTAGCCTGTCACCTTTCTGATTTTGAAATAAGCTGGCTGGTTGTGACGGTGCCGTCACTGGCAGCCCTGTCCCCCTCCAAGGCATCCCTGACTATAAAGTGGAACTTGTGTGCCACACAGGTGGATGCCAGCAAAGTTGGCATCACAGACTGCCTTGGCCATATTGGCCTCCATTGTCAGTGACCATGAACCTGCGGGTGAGCTCGCTCTGCCCACCGAGCCACCCCTGCACCAAACGGTTCATGGCCCCCATGATCTCGGTTGCTATGTGGGACTCATCCATCACCTCAGCTTGAAGGCGAGCCCACCGATCACCTGACTGGTCGCACCAGTGCCCTGTGAGGGAGAGGTAGGTGTGATCTCCACCCTGGCTGCTCCAGATGTCCAAGGGAAAGTATAAGGCCACCTG